ACATAGTGTTGTGTGTTCTTCCCAAACAACTCAATCTTGGTTTCATCTGTCCACAGTATATTTTGCCAGTAGTGCTGTGGAACATCCAGGGGCTCTTTTGCAAACTTCAAACGTGCTGCAATATTCTTTTTGGACAGCAATGGCTTCCTCTGTGGTGTCCTCCCATGTACTCCATTCTTGTTTAATGTTTTCCTTATTGTAGATGTGTCAACAAAAATGTTAGCATGTGCCAGAGATTTCTGTAGGTCTTTAGCTGACACTCTGGGATTCTTCTTTACCTCATGCAGCATTCTGCGCTGTGCTCTTGCAGTCATTTTTACAGGACGACCGCGCCTAGGGAGAGTAGCAACAGTGCTAAACTTTCTCCATTTGTTGACAGTCTGTCTTACCGTGGACACATGAACATCAAGGCTTTTGGAGATACTTTTGTAACCCTTTCCAGCTTCATGCAAGTCAACAATTCTTGATGGTAGGTCTTCTGAGAGGTCTCTTCTGCGAGGCATGGTTCACATCAGACAGTGCTTCTTGAAACCAGTAAACCCAAAATAGGTGTGTGTTTTTTAAGGGCAGGACAGCTGTCAGCAACACATCCAATATCATCACACTGATTGGAGTCAAGGTTGGCTCACTCCTGGCTCCAATTAGCTCTGGGAGAAGTCATTAAGCTAGGGCCTCACATACTTTTTCCTCCCTGCACTGTGAATGTTTACATGTTATGTGCAATTAAACCATGGCAACATCTAATGTTTGTGTAGTATTATGTTCAGCAGACTGTGTTCTTCTATTGTTGTGACTTAGATGATGTTCAGAGCACATTTTATGCCCAATTCATGCAAAACTCCACGTAATCCCAAGGGGTTCACATACTTTTTCTTGAAACTGTACTCCGAATGGTCTGATATCTGGGCTGAAAAGGACCCTTAGATGTATCGTGTCTTCACTAGGAACCCCTCTGGGTCAATGGACAGGAAGGCAAAAGGATACTTGGATACAGCTCAATTCAGAAGGCCCATATAACAGAACAAATCCTCCATAGAGTAAAACTGCTTTATTATAAACTAAATTAGCTAAAAACAAATTTGCACCCACATTTCAGCAGATGTCAACAGGCATTACCCATGTGTGGGTGTATTGAGATAAATACAGGGTGTTCGAAAATGGCGCCGCACCGGAAACTACATCACCACGCTGTACTGTCGACGCGTTGCGTCACGTTTGAGCTGTATCCAAGTATCCTTTTGCCTGCCTGTCCATTGACCCAGAGGGGTTCCTAGTGAAGACACGATACATCTAAGGGTCCTTTTCAGCCCAGATATCAGACCATTCGGAGTACCTATACAGGAAGGATCCGGGAGAGATCCGCAAGGCTTTGTGGCTCCTAGGGGCCACTGAGTGGAGGTGAGAGGCCATTGCAGCCATTTTTAGGAGCACCTACCGGTGGGTCATGGTTGTTTGCATGATCCAGAAGACTGAAGCACTTCAGCTGTGTTCACGTGTGTGTTCACATTCATTGGACTTTGTTATATTTGTGCTTATCTATTTGCATTTGATGAGCACTTTATTTGTCTTTATCCCTCCACAGGGATTCACGCATTCATAGGTTGAGTCCCAGCTGTGGGGACTAAGGGTCACTTGTTCATTGATCCCTCATTGGGATTGGGTTCACTATATGCCAGTCACTCATTAGGTCTGTTGTGACCTTGTTTGGGTTGGAGCACTCAGTGTCACCAATTTGCATGTATGTTATTTGTATTATTCATTACTTTGGTATTGAGCGCTACACCATTTTTTATTTTATTCGTTATCATTTGACCTACAGGTATAGGATTAGGTGTTTAGCTGCTGTTAAGTCCTATTTATGAGCATTTCTGATTACATCTTAGCACGGGGGGACCTTTTTGTTATATATAATCCCTTACACTGGTGACCAATGGGAGAAGGACCCCCTTATATCAGTGGTCATTGTAGTGGTCCCTTACATTGGTGACCAATGGGAGAAGAACCCCCTTATATCAGTGGTCAGTGTAGTGGTCCCTTACATTGTGACCAATGGGAGAAGGACCCCCTTATATCAGTGGTCATTGTAGTGGTCCCTTACATTGGTGACCAATGGGAGAAAGAACCCCCTTATATCAGTGGTCAGTGTGGTGGTCTCTTACATTGGTGACCAATGGGAGAAGGACCCCCTTATATCAGTGGTCAGTGTAGTGGTCCCTTATATTGGTGACCAAAGGGAGAAAGACCCCCTTATATCAGTGGTCAGTGTAGTGGCCCCTTACATTGGTGACCAATGGGAGAAGGACTCCCTTATATCAGTGGTCAGTGTAGTGGTCCCTTACATTGGTGACCAATGGGAGAAGGACCCCCTTATATCAGTGGTCAGTGTAGACGTCCCTTACACTGGTAACCAATTGGAGAAGGACCCCCTTATATCAGTGGTCAGTGTAGACGTCCCTTACATTGGTGACCAATGGGAGAAGGACCCCCTTATATCAGTGGTCAGTGTAGTGGTCCCTTACCTTTGTGATAAATGGCAGAAGGACCCCCTTATATCAGTGGTCAGTGTAGTGGTCCCTTACATTGGTGACCAATGGGAGAAGGACCCCCTTATATCAGTGTAGCAGTCTCTTGCATTGGTGACCAATGGGAGGACACCCTTATATCAGTGGTCAGTGTAGTGGTCCCTTGCATTGGTGACCAATGGGAGAAGGATCCCCTTATATAAGTGGTCAGTGTAGGGGTCCTTTACATTGGTGACCAATGGGAGAAGGATCCCCTTATATCAGTGGTCAGTGTAGTGGTCCCTTACATTGGTGACCAATGGGAGAGGGACCCCCCTTATATCAGTGGTCAGTTTAGTAATCCCTTATATTGCTGACCAATGGGAGAAGAACCCCCTTATATCAGTGGTCAGTGTAGTGGTCCCTTACATTGGTGACCAATGGGAGAAGGATCTCCTTATATCAGTGGTCAGTGTAGTGGTCCCTTACATTGGTGACCAATGGGAAAAAGACCCCCTTATATCAGTGGTCTGCCCTCCATTATCCTATCCATAGAGGGCAGGACAGAAGGGTCTAATACAGGGGTGGGCAAACTTTTTGACTTGAGGGCCGCAATGGGTTCATATATTGGACCCGGGGGCCGGACCAAGAGTAGATGAATGATGTGTATGTGTCATCCATAGTAAGAATAGTAATATTCCCCCATAGTAATTAATCCCCCATATAGTAATTCATCCCCCATATAGTAATTCATCCCCCTATAGTAATTCATCCCCCTATAGTAATTCATCCCCCATAGTAATTCATCCCCCATATAGTAATTCATCCCCCATAGTAATTCATCCCCCATAGTAATTCATCCCCCATATAGTAATTCATCCCCCATATAGTAATTCATCCCCCATATAGTAATTCATCCCCCATAGTAATTCATCCCCCATATAGTAATTCATCCCCCATAGTAATTCATCCCCCATATAGTAATTCATCCCCCATATAGTAATTCATCCCCCATAGTAATTCATCCCCCATAGTAATTCATCCCCCATAGTAATTCATCCCCCATATAGTAATTAATTCCCCATATTAATTCATCCCCCATATTAAGTCTCCAAGTCCCCCCTGTGTCAATTTACTTACCTTTGCTCCGCGCGTTCCTTCGCCGTGTTCCCGCGCCGTTCCGGTCTTCAGGGCGGACTGTGAGAGGAGCCTAGCTCCCCTCACGTTCGTCACGCTGCCCCGCCTACAAACATCCTGTCAGCCATCCTGACAGTATCACGCTCTGCGGGCCGGATTAAAAGGTCCGCCGGGCCTTATACGGCCCGCAGGCCGTAGTTTGCCCATTGCTGGTCTAATACAACCTCAATGTCTCAATAAACAGAACCTGTCACAACAAAAGAAAAAGACACAAGAGGGCATGCTCCGAGTGCGGTAATAAAAAACATTTATTAGAAACAAGTCAAATGTCAACTCACATTATAAGAGTCATTTATGTTTGTGGCCCATCACAACAAAACACTATCACAAGGGGAGCTGATGTTCCCTAATATGATAGCAATAAAGTTAAGTGAAAAAAGGAAGTTACCTCCAACCACCTAAACTCCCCTCTAAAATGTTCAATCCCCCATGTACATACAATAACTGACGACACGCTGCAGGGGCCTACATACAAGAACGCTATTTCTGTTCATACATGGTTGATTATGTCCCTCACAGTCTGCGGTTCTCACAGGTGCCGGGTAGAATATCTCAGTATGAACCCGTTCCTGAAGATGGAAAATAAGAAGCCTATATACTAAACAATTGTTGGGACAAATGTGATAAGCATTTGCCTAGAAGTGAAAAATTCAGGCCACATTTTAACACAGTGATTTCCTATGATCGTCAGCTCCGCTTAGTGGCCATAATAAGGTATTTTTCCTGAAATAATTCAATTAGTAAAAAGTGTGATACGGCTTTATAGACACTAGATGGAGCCAGTATCCATAGGAAATCAGTCTATGAAATAAAAACAAAACAGCCAATATTTGTCATGGCTGGGAAAATGTTGCTCATGTTCCTTTAACTATTTTTTTCTTAAATACACCTCTAAATCTCTACACCACAAAATGTACGAAGTGTTTGTGAAATCTCCCACCACAAAATGTACGAAGTGTTTGTGAAATCTCCCACCACAAAATGTACTCAGCTAATGAAAGGTGATGACGCCATTTTTATTCTTCTCCTGCTATCAATGGCCAACCCGGTCCCACACTTCATCCACGTCTTTGGTGACCTCTGATCTTCTTATGAACTGTCTCTTCCATGATGAAGATCAGCCATGGAGTATATCTGAGGTGTATATCAGGGTGTGCTTCTTCCCCACATGAGAGCTGGGATGTCCAGCAACATTCATCTAGAAGACATTTCCCGCACTCAAGGCACTAATACACCTCCAGAGTTGTGTGGGATCCCTGATGTACAGGAAGACAGGACTTCAGTGAGGAACATTTCCCTCACTCAGGACAGGAAACTGGCTTTTCTGCCCGTGTGAGATCTCTGATGTCTGTAAAGATTGGACGTCTGTGAAAAACATTTCCCGCACTCAGGACAGGAATATGGCTTTTCTCCCGTGTGACACTTCTTATGTTTGTAAAGACTGGAATGCCCTAGAAAACATTTCCCACACTCAGGACAAGAGTATGGCTTTTCCCCCGTGTGACATCTTTGATGTATGACAAGTTCTGATTTTTGCACAAAACATTTTCCACACTCAGAACAGGAATACGGCTTCTCCCCAGTGTGCAATTTCTGATGTCTGCGAAGATTGGACTTCACTGAAAAGCATTTCCCGCACTCAGGACAGGAATACTGCTTTTTCTCCATGTGATGCAGTTGATGTGTGACAAGTTGTAGTTTTAGTACAAAACATTTTCCGCACTCAGGACAGGAATATGGCCTCTGTACTGTATGAGATCGTTGATGTGTGGAAAGATGAGATTTCTTTGAAAAACATTTCCCGCACTCAGGGCAGAAATGCGGCTTCTCATCTGTGTGAGATTTTTTATGCTCATCAAGATTAAATTTAAAATGGAAACATTTCCCGCACTCACTACAGGAAAACCTCCTATCTGTAGGAAGGGCAGCCCGGTCCTGCACAGTCTGAGGTTCCTCAGGATACGAGGAATCCGATGGTCCATCTACACTGGGTGGTGCCGGATGGACATTGGAGGGAGTCGGGTTTTCTCCTGGACTATACTGTGTGATGTCCTCATCTTCTACTTTCCAGTCTGGAGACAAAGTGAGACAATCCTCGGAGGTTTTCCTCATCTCCCGGCCATGGACTAAAATACAAAGACAAAGAGGATTCTAGACAGGAGCTGATTGGTTCCCCCAAACCAGGACTCCACCCACATCAGGCAGCTTGGTCTCTGAGGAGCTTACAATTCCACCCTCAAGGGAACTAGGAAATGGCTCCTCTGATCTCCTACCAGGTCATTTCTTTATTCATGGACCTTAGTCAGAGAGTGAGGAAACAACCAGAACTGTCTTTTATAGGAGGAACAGTGATGAGGGGATTATAGGACGAGGGTCCCCACCCCCTCTATCACTCATTGCCATCTTCCCAACACAAGAAGTACTGCACTTCCTTATTTAGTCCATGATTTAGTCATGAAGAACAGCGGGGCTGAGCCCCACCAGAGGTCAGAGAGTGAGGATGGGGGGAGAACAACCAAGATGAAGACTGGACTGATCCTGAAGACCACCATCATTGGGGTATAGTCCTCCCCACCCTACTCTGGACCAATCAGTGAGCAGTATGGGTGGAGGAATGGATTTAGTGTTCATGACCCACCTGTGCTGATCTCTGTAGGAGTGTCCTCCTCTATAAATGTCCCCGTTATTCCATCCTCCTCCATAGACTGCTGATCATCCCTCACATACGCCTCTTCTTCTTCTTTAACCTCAACTTTCATATTCATCAGCTCTTCACCCTAAACCAAGAGAAGGATTGACAATAACATCTGTAAAATATGAGCATAATATTGTTACATCACAAAAAAAATCCACACATTGAAGTTCATGTTCTAGATGCACCGCCCCACCAACCTTGTAATGGTGAGGGATGGTGTGATCTTCCTGTGTGGAATCCTGGGAATACAGAGGACGGGGACATCTCTCTGGGGGGTTCCTGGTATTAGGTGGCTCCATCATATCCTTGTGTCCTTCTGAAAACTCCTCCATCACTCCATACTCCTCATCCTCCTCTTTATACTCTTCTTTAACATCAATATTATCATCCCCGAGGATTCCACTCTGAAAGATATAATAAAACATTCATTGTAACAAACATGCTGTGTATAAATCACAACTACCAATAATTGTCAGTCATCTACCTGATGATGGTGAGGGATGGTGTGACCTTCCTGTGTGGAATCCCAGGAATACAGAGGAAGGGGACATCTCTCTGGTGGGTTTTTGTAGCTGGATGACTCCACTATGGTGTCCTGGTACAGATTGTTGTGTTCTTTTAGAGACTCTGAGTCCTCCATCACCCCATCCTCATTCTCCTCCTCTTTTATCTCTTTTTTAATATTGTGTGTGGAATCCAGGGAATACAGAGGACGGGGACATCTCTCTGGTGGGTTCCTGGTATTAGGTGGCTCCATCATATCCTTGTGTCCTTCTGAAAATTCCTCCATCACTCCATACTCCTCATCCTCCTCTTTATACTCTTCTTTAATAATGATATCCCCGAGGATTCCACTCTGAATGAATATATAAAAAACATTCATTGTAACAAACAAGCTGTGTATAAATTATACCAGTGATTGTTCCTCATCTACCTGATGATGGTGAGGGATGGTGTGATGGTGTGTGATACCTCCCTGTGTGGAATCCCGGGAATACAGAGGACGGGGGACATCTCTCTGGTGGGTTCCCATGACTGGATCCATCTGTAGGAAACACACACACTGACTGAATCCATTGTTTCTATGTGTTTATCAGATGATGGGGGATCTAGGTGGATCCTCCGTACTGCTCTCTCCTTTACAATAAAGTCTCCTCTTACCCGGTGATGTGAGGGGCGGCTGATTGTCCATCATGACGTCCTTGTAGAGATCCTCGTGTCCTTCTAAATACTCCCACTTCTCCAGACTTCACAGGAGGAAAACTCTACATCTGAACACAAATAGTAACATCAAATGATATTCCCAGAATCCTCCTCACCTCTCCAGTCAGGTCTCCTCTTTTTTAAAGTAACACCTCAGGCTGAGGTATAATTTACGCACAAAGGGCCTTCTTACTCCGTAGGTTAAAACCTTGTTTTGACATTCTGGAAATCATTACATACAATGAGGATCAACAGTCCTGTTTTGCATATGACGTGCCAAGGGTCCGCTCACATCCTAAGAGCATCATATAAAAGAAAAAAAAAGCCAGATGGAGGGACATTGCTAGGAGGGGCAGTGAGGTCAGTGTGATGTCATAAGATTCTCTGACTCTATATGGAGGGACATTGGGAGGAGCTATGAGGTCAGTATGAGCTATGAGGCTATTAACTATAAAATAAAAGGGAATAAAAAACAGAAATAAAACTTTTACCAAGAGTTATCCTGCGATTGCAGCAAGTCAGAGAAAGTCCGCAATCCATTAGTCGATCAAACTAGCTCCATAGGAATCACCATGTCCATACCTGAGGACAGTACCAATCACTGTTCATCTGTCGCGATCCAGCACCACATAACCATTTCCTGCATTTTTCTGGCATTCTACATAGGCCACAAATACGGTTTGTACATGCAGATGTAGCCCACAGAGTGCCCAATCAGAAGGAAGTATTTTCATCTCTATGCAACTAATATTTTAGCATTTATGAGAGATTAATCTATTCCTTTGATTTGCGTATATACTTTAAAGCTCCCCAAACACATCGGAGCCCCCCTGGTGTCATGAAGCTGAAATATCTGTGTTCCTCTTTTAAACTTCAGGAAGATGGCAAAGTGTGATTATAGACAAATCTTATTGGCACTTAGGTGTCACTTCCAGCCTGGAAACTGCTGTCTTTTCAGATGCTAATGGGGTGAGCACATGTCTCTGAATACCTATGACTGAATAGTTCTTTAATGACAAGGAATGAAACTAAATCTACAATGTCATATTTTCTACAGGTCACATCTCAGCTACTCAAATCTTTATATTTATGTCACATCTCAGCTATTCAATTCTTACATGTACGTTACACCGTAGTAGTTGTGAGGGGACAGGATCCAGGGGGCAGGTAGTGAGACGGGCTTCTGAGAAAACCTTAGTGACCTCTTCGGTAGTAGCGAGGTCAGCAGAGGAAAGTGTTGAGGGAGGTTTAGTATAAGGTATGCTAAGTGGGATGATGTCTGTGCAGTGGTGAGATGTCCCTACGAATTGCGTCAATCTTGTTTTTGAAATGATTTGCAATCTCGTGAGCAGTGAGTGAGGTGCTGGATGGAGGTGGGGAAAGTAGAGAGTTAAAAGTAGAGAAGAGATGATGAGGACTGGATGACAAGCTATTAATGAGAGTGACAAAGTAGGCTTGTTTGGCACCATGGAGGGTGGAATTGTATGTGAAGAAAGCAGATTTATATCGGGGGGTGAATGCTTGCTGGGATTTGGTTTTACGCCACAATCGCTCCAGCGCACGACTATGTCGTTTAAGATTTCTGGTGTGGTCAGTCTGCCAAGGATGTAATGGTCGGGGCCTGATGCTTCGTGTTGTTAGAGGACCAAGTGAGTCCAGTGTGGATGAAAGCGAACCATTGTAGACAGCAGTGGCCAGGTCAGGGCAGGACAGGGGAGAGATTCTGTCATAGAGAAGGTCAGTTGCAGAGTGGAAAGGAGCCGGGTTCAAGTTGTGAAAAGGTTTCTGCGGGTAATTGTTTGCTGCTTGGAGGGATAGGTGTTTGAAGACGAGGAGACTGTGAAGGTGATGAGATTGTGATCAGAGAGAGGAAAGGGGGGTGTTTGTGAGGTTGTAGGGAGTGCAAAGATGGGAGAAAACAAGGTCTAATGTATTCCCATCAGAGTGAGTGGAGGACGGTGTCCATTGTGCTAATGCAAAAAGATGAGGTTATGATGAAGAGTTGGGATCTAGCCGGGTTGTTGACATTAATGGGGATGTTATAATCTCCAAGAATGATAGTGGGTAGTTCAGAGGGAAAGTTGGGTAGCCAGGCAGAGAAGTCATCAAGAAAGCGGGACACGGGTCCAGGAGGCCGATAGATCACTGCAATCCTCAGAGAAATGGGAGAAAATGCCGGATGCAGTGAGTCTGGGAAGAAGAGAATGATAGAGAGGGAGGGTTAAGGGGGGACTTGAAAGGCTGCTCAGTGGGGATAGAAGCAAACCAACTCCACCACCTTTCGCTTACGACCACTGGGTCATGGGGTGAGTGGGTCCAGAGGAGGCCTCCATAGAAAGGTGCTGCGGTGGAAGCAGAATCTGCTGCTTGGAGTCAGGTTTCTGTAATTGCTAGTAGGTTAAGGGAGCGGGAGAGACAAAAAGGTCATGGACAGAGGTGAGCTTATTACAGACAGAGCGGGCATTCCAGAGCACACATGAAAAAGGGAGGGTGGTTTTTAGGAATACGGGGGACTGATATTAAGTTGAGCAGAATTGCGGCTATTCCTGGAGGAAGGAGGGTGCCTGGTGTGGGGGTGAGATAGTGGAGGACCAGGGTTTGGGGAGATACCCCCAGAGGTTAGGAGGAGAAGAAGGGTGAGGAAAATAAGAAGGGTGAGGGGATGTACATGAGTGCACATGCCTTCCAGTCCTGGTGTTTTGGGTCAGCAGGAGAGTGAAGTATCAGCAGGAGGTGATGAGAGCAGTAGTAGGGAGATGGTAGCAGTGAGCGGGAGATGTAGATGCTTTGGGGTGGAGCAGAGGGGTAAAGAAGTGAGATTTCTCAGGATAGCACAGGATAGTAATATGAAGAGGAGTAGAGGGGACATATTAAATTGTACATGGAGTGGGACTCAGACTTGTGAGGAGCTGTGAGGTCAGTGTGATGTCATAGGAATCTCTGACTGTGAATGGAGGGACATTGGGAGGAGGAGCTGTGAGGTCAGTGTGATGTCATAGGAATCTCTGACTGTGA